GACCGTTGCGTACATCAACCGACAAGGTGGTCTGCGCTCCCGTTGCTTGTCGCAACTCGCCCGCCACCTACTCCTCTGGAGTCAGAAGCATCTGAGGTCGCTTCGTGCTGTTCACATTTCTGGGCTGCTCAACCCGGCAGCCAACGAGCTGTCTCGAGCTGTGCTCCCGGGAGAATGGCGACTCCATCCCCTGACGGTCCAGCTGGTTTGGGGACGTTTCAGAGCCGCTCAGGTAGACCTCTTTGCCTCTCCAGAAACCTCTCACTGCCAGTTGTTCTTCTCCCTGCCGAGGGAACATTCAGCGCGGACGCACTGGCACACAGTATGCGTTTCCCCCAGTGAGCCTTCTTGCACAGTTGCTGTGCAAGGTCAGGGAGGATGAGGAGCAGGTCCGGTTGGTGGCACACTATTGGCCTACCTGGACCTGGTTCCCGGAACTAATGCTCCTCGCGACAGCCCCTCCTTGGCCGATTCCTCTGAGGAAGGATCTACTGACTCCGAGACAGGGCACCCTTTGGCACCTCGCGTCCAGACCTCATTCAACTTCATTCCGTCCAGACGGGACGCGGAGGTTCTGAGTGACCTACCTCAAGAGGTAGTCGACACCATCACTTCTGCGAGAGCACCATCTACGAGACACGCCTACGCTTTGAAGTGGAACCTGTTCGTTGAGTGGTGTTCTTCTCGCCGAGAAGACCCCCAAATATGCCCGATCAGAGTTGTGCTGTCCTTTTTGCAGCAAGGGTTGGAGCGAAGGCTGTCTCCCTCCACCCTTAAAGTTTATGTCGCTGTTTAGGTCCATATAGTAGACCCTGTTGAGCTCCTCCATCCCCTCGGCAGCCAGGCGTGGCGGAGCGTCCGGCGCCAGGCCTTCACTCATTGAATCTTCGAGAACCGGCAGAAGGCTGGGTTCCATATGTAAGGCCTAAGTGGATCCCATATGTGTAAAGTCCATGGTATAGCCTCGAGCCCGTGTTTCCCCGGCAGACTTCTGCCATTCCAAGAGGGTTACAATCACCTCCATTCTTCCATATGCACCCAAGGAATGTTCATATGTGTATTGTTTCTGAAACCTCCTTCGGGAAGATTGGAGCTTCCATAACGTCCCTGTTCCAAGTAGAACGAGTACGTTTTCCCAGTGTTATACGTGGCGTCTCTGTTCCCTCCTTCAGGGAACAAGGGTTACCATACGTAACCGAGATGTTCACCTGTTATGTACACGAAACAGACACTTGACAAAGTCAAAATGCGATACGGAAGAAACTTAGATTAAACATCAGTTTCGGTCAATGATTTCAGCCCTCTAAACAGTTTCAGATGAAACTGAAAATTAATTTTTGGGCCAGATATTTTGGTGCATCACTACTCTTAAACCTTGTGGCTCATGCGCACACTTAATCTCCAGACTACAAGCATAAAACCATTCCAGCTGCTTTACTGACCTTAAAGTCATTCTGTCTTTGCCGGGCGTTCTTCTTTAACTTCTCCACCTGACCAGATTTCTCTCCCGTCTGTCCAAGACAACACAGTCAACAAGATTCAAAGAGTGTGTTTGTAATCAAAACATGATTACACTAGCCCTGGTTTCTAACACTTCTGAGTATATTTGTCCATGTATCTACCTCACTGAACAGGCTGCCGTTGACGTAAGAGATCCACAGTTTCCAGAAGTTGGGCAGCTGGCTGATGACCACGTCTGAGAGCTTCTCCACAAACCTCACCTGCTGAGGGCTCTTATAGTGCCACGCTGAGAAAATATGTATTATATAATGTTATGAAGACAGCAGCATTCTGCTTCTGAAATGAAAGCAGCTAACAATGAGACTTCTACGAGTTTCACAACTCATGCTAACTAGGTGCAGTTTCAAACATCAAATCATTTTTTAACTTACTGAAAGCGAAATTCTGCACAAAGCAACAAAATCACAGCAAATCAGAGCATTTTCCATAAATTATATACAGATATTAATTATTGTATATCTGTATATAATATTTGTAAGATTTTTAAATTATTTCTGAAAGAAGTATCTTATGCTCAACAAGCTCAAAAAGCAGTAAAAACAATTATATTGTAAAATATTATTACAAATTAAAATAACGGTTTTCTATTTTAATATAATTGAAAACATACTTTATGCGTTTGGTGGCAAAGGTGAATTTGTCAGCAGCACATGATCCTTCAGAAATCATATGTTAATCATTCTGTTATTGTACTCACAGTCATCTTTAGGTGTCTGGAAGCTGCCTCCTCTCTTCACTGGAGCTGAGAGGCTGATCCTGTTCAGAGCTGAGGAGCGATCCAGCTCTAAACCCACACCACCCACTGACACAGAGAGACACAATGAATGCTCATCGACATACGTCAGCATTTAACAATGAATCACGTTTATAAAAACAAAAGGGTTTCAGTTACCCCATCACATGGCCGATATATCACTCAGCTAAGAGTGACAATTCATGCTCGACTCCTGGTCTGATGTTGATGAAGGCATATTTGAGCCTTGCTCATGGGGAAACAGGTCTAGATGATGCTGCACTCTTTTAATCTGTTTTTTTTTTCTTTCTTTTTTCCCCTGTGATTTGAGTGCAAATCATGAGGCAAATGCCTTTATGCAAAGTGACTTTCAAAATACTTATCATAGGACAATCGTCCTGACACAACCTTTTTGGTTACCAGCCAAGTCAAGCTGGTATGTATGGTGCAGTATAGGGGTGTGCCCCAAGCCGAATACCTTATTCGGAAAGGCACGGATAATGATATTATACATAACCTCTAAAATCACTACGCAATAACGAGGTGTGTGAAGTGAATGAGTGTATGCACAGATGAAATAAGCGCAAATCAAATAGTCGCGTTGCTGTTGCCTCTCTGTATGTCTCTCAGAAATCTGAGCTTGGCAAGAGTACATCAACTAAAATACTACATCATACACATATTCTACTATGTAATATGTATATTTAACTGTTTTAAATCTTGCGATATGATACACGAATGAATGAAATAAGCACAGCATGATTGCAAACAGCCGCGTTCTTTCAGAAACCAAACCAGCTCTAGCCTAATAATAAACTAAGATACATATACATGTTCTGCTGCTTGATATGTCATTTAAATGTTTTAAACTTGGTATGATAGGCTACATATTTCTCTGTCTCACTCTCTCTCGGAGATGGCATTTATGCAGGTATATAATTTGTTCAGATTTATATTTGTATGCACAGTAAAAAGTTGTTATTTTTTATATGTTTCAACCTCCATATTCTTTAATCAGCTAGTTGTAGAGTCTAGTTATTTGAGGTTGTGGTTTCACCTGACATTACTCAGTACACAGAGTTATAAATATTCCTCTTATTTTACTTTTATTACTACTGTTTTAATTAGGGTCACCTGAAGCCCAACCGCATTACACCTCAAAGGACTGTCTATACGAGGCTATCAGCTCCGACAGTTAGAAGATATTTAAATAAATGTTATAATCAAAATGAAAAATATTATTTAATCAGTTATACTAGGCATATTTTTTTCAGTGATAACTACGAAGAAAAAAAAAAGGCTGTAAATTCATTGAAATAATGGTTTTCCGTTTTCTCAAGTAATTGCGATCATTTTGAAATTGTTACAGATACAGATATTGACTCCTCTGCGCAACCCTATGGCAGTAGCTCTTCTCTGACAGTAGATGGCACTAAAGAGCTTTCTGGGACTCTGCCTGAGTCTTGATTAAATTGTTGATATAGTCTGAAACATTCAATATGTCCACATAGTGTACGCATGTCATGTTTCATGTTTCTCTCTCACAGATAAAGATGTATACCATTCAGCCACTTGGACGTTTACTCTCTCTTTCGTCTGATAAAAAATGAATGCTGGTGTTGATCCAGGTGTCCAATCATCTCATGTGTTTATCTATGCTCCTCTCTCTCCTTGTATTCCCCGATGTCTGCCCCCCCCCCCCCCCCCCCCCCCCCCCCCCCCCCCCCCACAGCACACACAGGGCAGAACACACACACACTGCTTTCACTCTTCGGAGCTGTAGAGGAACCATCAATTTATTTCAAACTATCTGCATGTGTGTGTACCTTTCTGCTCTTTGACCAAATCTTCTTTACAGTTTTGCATTAGCTGCAGGATCCACTTGTGTTGAGCGACTATACATTGCCATGCTGGGTCACCTGGAGCATGTAGATCCGACAGGTATCTTGAGTAAAAAGAGAGAGAGAATCATTAGATCAATATAATCACGTCCTTTTCAGGACCCCTTAAACCCCTCTCACAATGACAGGTCATGTAATTACTTAAAATAAATAATTAAATATAAATAATTTACACTACCACTCAAAGGCTTGGGGTCAGTAAGAAATTAATACTTTTATTCAGGAAGAATACATTAAGTTGATCAAAAGTGACAGGAAAGACTGTTAGAAAAAAAATCTATTTAAAATAAATGCTTTTCTTTTCTTTGAAGATTCTATTCATCAAAGAATCTTGAAAAAAAATGTTTCACAGTTTCCACAAAAATATGTGATAACAAGAAATGCTTCTTGAACAGCAAATTAGCATATTAGAATGATCTCTGCAGGACCATGTTACACTGAAGACTGGAGTATTGCCTGCTGAAAATTCAGCTTTGCCATCATAGGAATAAATTACATAAAAAAAATATATTCAAAAACAATAAGAAAAATAAATTGTAATAATATTTCTCAATATTACTGTTTTTACTGTATAAATGCTTTGATCACATAAATTCAGCCTTGATAAGCACTTCTTTTGGAAACATGCAAACCATTTGAACGGTAGTGAATATGTTATAATAAAAATCTATATTTATAATTAAAAATGAACATTTTTTAGTTGATTTCTCACACAGTACGGGTCTTTTTACTTGACTTTTTTCATATTTGAAGGTCTCTAGCATCAAAAAGCATGAAAACCCCTGTCACAGGTGATGAATAACGTGAGCTTAACACACCTGATATAGCGTTTCTGATCATGTAGAGTGGATGGCGTCTCCAGAAGTTTATCCAAAAGCAGTTTCCTCAGGGCTTCTATCCGCGTCTCCACCTCTGAATACACTACAAACATATATGCAGACGATCTTTCTTAACATTTACACAGTACTCCAGGTAATGTGAATGTATGCGTGTAATATTAACATGTTATCAATTATTATCAGTGAAGATCAGATCACCTTTCTTAAAGACAGGGACTTCTGTGTTCCCAAACAGAGATTTGGCTTTCTCATAATCATTTATAACAACGTCGTAATCGCCCTGGAAGGAAATCATACACATATACACAGTCAGTTTAGCATTCAGAGATCATTTTTATTTATCATAAAGTGTATATACTACCGTTCAAAAGTTTTGGGATGGTAAGATTTTGCAATGTTTTTAAAAGAAGTCACTTCTGCTGCAGTTTTCTGATCAAAAATACTTTATAATAATTATGAAATATTGTGATAAAGTTATTACAATTTAAAATAACTGTTTTCTATTTAAATATATTTTCAAATTGAATTTATTACCATCTTCAGCAGCCATTACTTCAGTCTTCAGTGTCATATTCTTCAGAAATCATTCTAATATGATGAATTTAGTATTCAAGAAACAATCTTTTTTTATTATTATCATCAATATTGAAAACAGTTGTGCTGCCTAATATATTTGTGGAAACTGTGATACATAGATTCTTTGATAAACAGAAGGTTCAAAAGTACAGCATTTATTAGAATTTTTTTTTTGCAACAATGTAAAAGTCTTTACTGTCCCTTTTGATAAATTGAATGTGTCCTTGCTGAATAAATATATTAATTAAATAAATATTCCAAACATCCCTGTACCCAAACTGTTGAACGGTAGGGTGAAAAACGGCATGTATGTATGTATGGGGGATGTCACCTTCTGGATGTTGCGCTCAATGTTGAGTGGCAGGTTAAACAGAAATTTGAATCTCTGGAGGACATTGAGAGCATTGCGTGTGGAGTCGGCCTTGTCCTTTCTGCCCAACACTTCTTGAAACAGGGTGTCAGCAGTTTCACTTGCTCCTGAGAGGAATGAGCAAATGGAAAGAGATGAGAAAAGGGTGTAGAAGGACAACAGCTGATAAAAAGTGGTTTAATCATCCTTGCTCGGTTTGAAATAAATTCAAGATCTCTTATGCTCCCTCTTCTTGGGTGGTCGGCTATTCTGGAATCCCTTGGTCAGATTTAATAAGAACCAGCCCCCTGACAACTATAAAAGTCCGACCAGCCTTTCTTCCACTATTGAGCCCATTTGTGATTGGCTGAGTGTCAAAGGCAGTAAGTGGCTTTGGTAAGAACATACATCTAAATGTACTTGTAAAGATGGATGGTGAGGAGGATAAGGAGGGGTTGGCAATGAAAGCATGTCAGTGTGTGACTGGTTTATTTGTGCGGCCCGCAGGAAACGAGCATGTTTATTGACCTACCGTCACATGAGAGAATTGACATGAAGATATGATTGGGATATGAGTGGTCTCGAACACACGCAGACGCACTCACAGAAACACGCCGAGGTCTGTGTGAAATGTGTGGCTTTGATGGTCTAAAGAGAATGCATATGCAACTCTGAATCTAAATTTAGCTGCTTTGTGTAAACGTGTGTGATTTTGAGCATGTGTTTGGTTTTATGTCTTACTGTTAAGGACGTTCTCTAGTCTCTGGGTCATAGAGCCTTCCACCTTCTCAGTGCCGTCCGATTCAAGCTTCTGATGGATAGCTAGACAGTGAGAGAGAGGGGAAAAAAGTCATGTTTGAGAGCATTTCCATTTTGGGGTCATAAATTAATACTTTTATTCAGCAATGACGCAATAAATTGATCAAAGGTGATAGTAAAGACATTTATAATGTTACAAAAGATTTATATTTCAAATAAATGCTTTTGAACTTTCTATTACACCGTCTTAACAAACACAGGGTATATGCAGAGTTTTTGAAATCAAATGCAAGACTTTTTAAGATCTGCACTAATTTATACGTCCATACAGAACACACCTATACAATCTCAAAACAAATTATGCATTTCAGTTTTTTTTTACTTGATTAAAAAGGCTGCGCACATTCAATGAAAACGTAATGCTGCTTATCAGCAAAACAGGGTAACTGCAAAATTTTAATATTCAAGACATGTTTTATTCCAATATATACATGTGTATTGAAACTGGTTTGTGTACTACTAACATAACAATACATATGAATTAGAGGTCAACCAATATTAGATTTTGCTGATGTGATAATAATGGATGTGTTAAATAATGTTCCTAGTCTTTCCTTACTGTGACAGGGTGGACCAAAGAGAAGCTACAAGAGTTTATGTTGAATTAAGTGCTGGATACAGCTTATTGTGTAACCAAAATACAAATAAAAACAATAATCAAGATTTTGTGAATAATGCAAGAGTTTTCATTATAAACAATCCCAAAATATACTCTTCTTTTGAATTGTCTGTGCATTACTATTACAACTTGCAAATAAAATATGAACTCTTACAACCACCTACAACATTTTACAATATAAACCCCATAATGTAAACACTGTCATAATTCATCAACAGTAGACCATATACAATCACTTGGCATAAACGTGCAGTATTCACTGATTGCGAACTGCTCTGAAACCGCGAGCCTGTAGAACGTGCAACAGTGCTGTGTATTGAATTTCAATGTGTTGAAAATGTGTTGTCACATTTGTTTAATCACAGCCTTTTGAAGTATAATAATCACATTAGACCGTACCGCAATTCCTGTTTTTCTGCCCCAAATTTAAGATCTCTTAAATGATAATTACGACTTGTGTTATACCATTTAAGATATTTAAAGGGATAGTTCACCCAAAAATGAAAATTCTGTCATCAATTACTCACCCTCATGTTGTTTCAAGCCCGTAAGACCTTCGTTCATCTTCGGAACACAAATTAAGATATTTTTGATGGAATCTGAGAGCTGTCTGACTCTGCATATACAGCAATGCAACTGAAACGTTTTCAAGTCCAGAGACGTAGCAAGGAGATCGGTAAAATAATCCATGTGACATCAGGGGTTCAACCGTAATTTTACGAAGCTACGAGAATACTTTTTGTGCGCAAAAAAAAATAAAATAAAAAAACTTTATTCAACAATTCGTCTCCTCCACGTCACCCTAGCGCAATTTTGGAGAGTATCAGCTGGACGTAAACAGCGTATGCTGTTCTGTGTCAGCTGCGTCACACGGATACGCTGTTTTCGTTCAGATCAAATCACAACAACGTAGGAAATAGATCCCGCGTGACCCTTTAAGACTTTTTATGACCTTAAATTTGATCAAACTGAATTTGAGACATTTTAAGACTTTTTAAGGCCATGCACTCTATAGCATATATATATATATATATATGCTATAGAGTGCCTAAATTGGAAGATAAACCTTTGCACAAAAAAACGAATTCTACCTAACTAAGTCACTTTTCTCTCTCCACATCTGGATTTGGGATACTTCTGTACACGATGACATCAGGGCTAACCTCCGGCTCCCGGAATGCTGTGTGGTACACTTCCTCTGTCTCTGAGGTATGTTTTGACTTCTGCCTGGTAAGTTTTGGGAGTCTTCTCTGGGAATCAGTGCAGCTTCCGTTTGCTGCTCTCTCGTTTCCTCTCAGCACAATGACAACCTTATTACAACCTCATCTAAACATTGACAACCACGCCTTGTTATCCGTCCCCATGCATGTCAATCACATGGACACGCAGTGCTAAGAATAGTTCTTCTGTTTGACTTCAGACAAGTGAACCGAGACAAATCCAACACACACAGACAGATTTGAAAAATAGAATCTGCACAGTGACATTGACCTCTGATGACAGCAGTCTGAGTAGAGAACATACACCTGTGTACAATGATGTAAGAAGTGAAAGAAACTTGAATAAAAGGCCCATGCAACTAATTTTGTTAAATGCATCCATATTAGCATTCATATTGTCTATTTGAGCTTTACTTTTAATACTTAATATAGGAACCAACCCAATGAGTTATTCAATGAAGGTCAAAAAAACTTTTTAAATTATACACTTTGTGGGAAAAAAATGTATCACAATCATGAACGTTTCTATCAGAACAAGATTACATTTCTCAGAGGACTTCCAAGATAGCTGAAAAATTGGTATGTAATTTAAATCATAATTTTACACTGATGTTTTGGTAGTGTCATAACATTTTCTGGCAAGCTTAACAATTCTTCACCAGAAGTCCACAGAAAATATTCAAAAAGTAAAAAAAAAAAATAAATACTGTACAATCAATATTCACAAATTAAACTGCTTATAATCAATTCCAATTTGCTTCCAGTCTTTAATTCAAATCGACTCAAAAAGTATGCTATAGAGTGCCTAAATTGGAAGATAAACCTTTGCACAAAAAGACTAATTCTACCTAACTAAGTCACTTTTCTCTCTCCACATCTGGATTTGGGATACTTCTGTACACGATGACATCAGGGCTAACCTCCGGCTCCCGGAATGCTGTGTGGTACACTTCCTCTGTCTCTGAGGTATGTTTTGACTTCTGCCTGGTAAGTT